CAACCCCAGTCCAACCCATTGTTCCCGTCAGCCCTGTACAAGTAGTGAAAGATGCACCGCCAATGCCGGAGCCCATCACCTTCAGCGTCTGTGCAAGTCAAACACCCATGCAGGCATATGGACAGGGCATTAGTGCAGCAACGCTGGATGTATCCACTATGGAATCTGTCGACTTCTGTGTTCAGTTTTCTTCTGCGGATTCTGTCTTTGGTCTTGTTGTTGATGAGGGTTCTTTTTCGTCTTCTGCTGAGGAGTCGTTTAATTATTTTGCTTTGTCACGTAAGTGCCGTGCTGTCCAATGCGATCTCCTGTGTTTGCCTGCTGATATTCTTTTCTCTGGGTCGTCTGTGGAGTTAGAGGATTCGACGGTTTCAGAAACCCACTACACCTTTTCTGCTTCTCATTCTGTTGCCTGCCAGATGTCTCTTCCTTCTCTATTGTCACTTTTGGATTTCGATCATTCTTCTGGCTTTGGCAGCCAGTCTCTCATGTCTGAATTCATTACCGCATCTGATCTTGTCCGTGATTTCTTTATTTCCCGATCGAATTACCATGAACTTGACCGTTATCTCTCATCCTTGGGTTTTGGTCGATTGAATTCTGATCAGTACGACTGTCTTATAGACCGTGGCTTCCTAGCTGAGTTTTCTTCTCAGTCCGTTTCTGAGCGTCTCGCTTCTGCTGATGTTTGTACGCAATGGCCCGGGGAAATTGTTGTACAAGAGGAATTCGAGGAAACGCTTTATGTTGATGACTCTCTATCTTCTGACGATGAGGACCTTTACCTTCGTCGTCTTCACCGGGGCCAGATTTCTGAAACTGCCTGCCAGGTTCAATCAGAATTCTTCAGCAGTGAATTTCTTGCGACAGAAGATACTGAAGTAGAGCAAGAACCTCACTATTTAAGTGATTACCGTCAACTGGAAGTCATCAATGAGTCGAAATTGCTGCGACAAACTACCAACTACGACATCGCTCGATGCCAAACAGGAAATACTGTAGTTCCCATAAAAACCGAATTTTGGGAAGATATCAGTTACAATGAATCCACCCGGGCGAGCCAGACAACTAATCTGCCCGCTACCTATATCGAGCACTTTATGAAAAAATACAAACAGACGGAGAAAGAAGATCGTTATAGGCCATGCCTGCACGACTTGGATGTAACTACCTACTTCTTTGATGAGGATATACACGAGGAGGAATACAGACTGAGGTTGCAGCACCTCTCGCCTTCGTTGATGTCCTCACTGCCGTAAGTTGAAATGTTCATTCATTCTTTACTAATGGAGACTGGCTAATACTCTTAAATGGAAATGGTGTTACAACTGTTAATCTCCTAGACATTTTAAAAAGCAAATGTTACTTAGGCCGAAGCTATGAATATTCGACATCGAAATTCTCCAGAGGACTGAACGTTTTCTCGACTCGAACTTTATATTTCCGATACAAGCAGGCTTTCCCACTTAATCGTATGCCTTAAGAATGCCCAGTTCACTATATTGAGGAGAAATAGTCAACATCATCTAAGAATTCATGGAGCATTTTTATCAGTAAATATTGTTGTCTTTACCCACACATTTACAGCATCAAATGAAAACTCAAATTTACTATATAGTAACCACCAACGTTAATGGCACACCAACAAAGAACTCGTCACATTCACGTACGCACAAATCTGTCTTCTTAGAAGCAAAAGGGTCCACGTTCTTCTTTTAAACCCAACCAGACAAATAAACGCCTTTAAATCAAGTTTTGGTAAATGAAGTGGCAAACTAATAAAAACCAGGGAAATAGAGAAACTGTCACGAGTCATATGTCGCAGCCCTTTATGTGTGCTCCGAATAGAAATTAGAGTATTGTAGTCGGTGCTTTTAAAGATATCCCACAGTCTTTTTAACCCCAAAACCTCATTCTGGTTAATAACAAAACACACATTCCTTCCTAAGATAGTACAAGCTTGACGCTATCATCAGAATGGACATAGATTGCGCAGTCATTATTTTGGCCGTCTTCTTTGTTTAAAGCTAGTTCTTAAACATATCATTGCCTGTACTTTGGCGTAATGACAGATTAAAGTCCAATTACCAAGATAATGGGTGTCTGCGTAAACTTGCAGGGTAGGTTAATTGCAAATGTCTCAATCAGATCGATATCTTGCTTTCTATTACTTCCCTGTCATGACTCTCATCGTGCATAATTAACCTCCCCGATTTCATTTCCTTCAGTTCGGATAGCATGGTTGTACAAATACGTCAGCAGGTCGTCGACTATGAGCTATGCCAAATGGTTAGTCATCTGGACTCCAGGCGATGGAACGACATCCGAGAGGTGGCAAGTCCCATCACAGGTCTGTTCGCACCAATCAACATTGCGATTCGTCGGGGATGGATCCAAATGGGTAATCGTAATGAATACATCGATCCATCCACAGGCCATCACATCCCACTAGAGACCGCCCTCGCCCAGGGTCGTTTGCGCATGGCTAACACACGAAGCGCCTCGACAAGGGGACCGGCAGAGCCGTCACTCATGTTCATCGAACGAGAGTCTTATGGCTGGTATCGGGCTGAGGCAACGCACGTTGTGAACACAAAGACCCACGAAAAACTGAGCATCACTCAAGCCAGATCAGAGGGGCTTATAAAACGAGAGGAGGATGACTCGGTGTGGATTCAGGACATACGGAACTCTCGATGGGTGTCAGCAGACGAAGCCGTTGCGTCAGAAATCCTCTTTGTAGAGAACATAGAGAAGATCGAAAACAACGAAGTGGAACTTTGCGAACGCACAGAAAGTACTGTGAGGGCATACCACGTGGACGCCATCAAGCCCGCCGGTGAGCCGTGCGAATGGTTGAGTACTGATGACGCAGTAAGACTAGGTTTCTTTAACCCGCAGACCGGTGATGTGGCTGTCGATTGGCCAGCTAGACCCGCGTACCCTTCACTAAACTCCTCAAGAAGCACAATCTCCATGAGCGAAGACTACACAGTGCACCACTGGTGCAGTTTCCTGACGGCCCGTCAAGCTGGCTGGATAAAGATGCGACCAGAGTTGAACACTCGGCGTTGGGTCCCTTTAACTAGGCCGGGTACAACCAACCCAAACCGCCGTCTCATTGCTTCGACTGCCAAGCCAATCTACAGCGAATGCGAAACTATCCAAATGGAAATGTCCTACCATCACGAATTCCTTAGTCACAGCGAAGATCAGCACGAATCATTCCAACTCTACCAACGCCAGCACCCATCGGAAATAAGCTACTATCCGGCACATCGACTGGAGGGGGAGTATGAAGAGCTGGACTACGAAGCATACAATGAATCTCAGTACTATCAGAGCTTACGTCAAGCGCAACCCCAAGAGGTATCGCGAATTTGGACCAGGGAAGTTGACTACCACGAGTCCTCAGAGACAACCGAAACAGCCCAATCCTTCGCAAGAAGACGACGCCGGTGTGACTAAAAATTTCGCATTTTAGGACTTTTACGCTATTCAAGAATGATTTATCCTTGACGCCCGCTGGACTTACTCCTTCGTTATTTTTACCAAAGCCAAAAGTCGCAAGACTTCTTGACGATGTAATATAATCATAATGACTGTTCAGAGCGCATTCGGTTTAAGAAATTCAATCACCCAATGTGGCACTGGAAGGTTTCATTTAAGTTTGTTTATAAATAAAAGACCTCGCAATGTTTACATCCCAATGCCTATTTCAGTTCAGTTCATTTTATTAAGTGAAAGGTAGGCGAACGCCTTTGAACTCCCTATTAGTTAAAATAACGCCACAAAAAAACAATATGTAAAGTAAGTGTGAAAGAAGGGTAGGTGGCTAATTACACGAAGTTGTATGAATGGGTCAGCGTTTGCATACTGTGTCAAAATTGTGAAATAATAATTACGCGGTACCGAAATGGCCCAAGTAAGATGGAAACGAACGCTTATGCTTCGGTCAGGATTAATTGGTTCGCATGTGGACGGCCGACGGAGGCAGTTGGCGGAAAAAGCTATAAGATAATGTTACCTAAATATAGGGAGTAGCATATTTTGTAATGGATAAAGTTAGGATGGCACAGGGGGAAAAATCTGTTAGTTTCTGATGACGTGGTGGTACATACCCTTGTACTGGCCAACCCCTCTCTCAAATTTGTCCACGGATGAGAACATGACAACGTAAACAGACAAAGCATCCCATGCCTTAATCACCCTGTGGCTGGAGAAGAATTTCCATGCATCCACTCTGGCCCCAGTGACACGGAGTTTGAAAAGGCGTCCTCTCAAGCTAGTAGTGGTGGCCTGCTCAAAAAAGGCACCGGATACGAGGCAACAATCTCGATCCCTCAGCTTGCGAAACGTTCTAATTAAGTCGCCACGTAACTGTCTGTAGTCCAGGGGAAAGACAACAAGATTGGAGAGTCGAGTTCCGTAAGGTAGGTTTCTTGGACCTCTGGCAAACCTGATTGCCTATCGTTAGACATTTTCGAGGGTGGTAGTGCCATTGAGAGACCAGGGTCTCCAGACCTGTATGGCAAACTCCAACTGTGGTCGCATGAACATCCCGAAGAACTTACTAAAGCACTCTTCGTCAAACTTCGCAAATTCCCGCTTGATGATATATAAACCGTTTTCAACCAGTGGAATGATGGCTATAGTGACGAGGATATTCACACTCCCAGATCCTCCTAAAACTATATCACTGGCAACGGTGTGTTGTTTAGATAGCACGTCCTGCGGTGCGCAGAGCAGGTTTTGCCAATTCGCAGAACGTTGTATTTGGCAACATTGGACGCGAGGAGCCAGTGACCTGGAAATTCCTCGAGTCGGTTCAAGTTTGCCTGCAGATTTGATCCATCGTCATCGTTGCGAATGATGTTCCAAAGCATTGTGTCCTCAGCAGACATGGCAATGTCTCAGTCGAACCCAAGGATACAGACATCAATATATATATATATATTGCTTATTGAAGCGAAAATGCGAGTTCCCGGATATAACTGAGAAAAAAAGGCGATCGCAGGAACCATAGGTATATTTGCCTGACGTTTCGAAAGCAAACAAGCTTCCATCATCGGATGTGGGTTGCGTACTGCACGTCACAGTATTTAAGGGTTTTCTTTCGTGCTGGCGTGTCACTGACTTCCAGCGCGCTGCATTACAAGGCCTGACGATTGTTGTCATGGCGGCATCGGTTTCTCTTCATCCTTTGTCGGGTGTGGGGAGGAAAGCGGCGTCGGGGTGACCGCGGCCATTGCTCTTGTTTGCATTGTCCGTTGTCCACCCTCCACGTATCTCGCCTTCCTACCCCGTTCGCACCTGCCCGTAACCGCGTGGATGGTGGTTGTCATGCCAGTGTTGACGTCGGGCTGGGGGTCCTGTCACTGTTGGGCGTTCTCACCGACTGCTCTCGTCTGTCTGCGTTCACCACCGGTTGTTCCCTGGTTTCGTTTGTTCCCGATGTCTGTCTATGCCCGTCCGTGCTCCCGCTTGGTCTGGGTTTGGTTACTGTCGTCTCCGGCCTGACGTCTCGTCGGTAGCCCTGCCTATTGAACTTCACCTGTAGGGCTTGGTAGGCAGCCGGCAAAGTTACGCAGCGGTTGATTGAGGTAGTTATGGTGTGTCAGGCTTCGGGCGTCTCCCTGACCGTTTGATCGCTCCCTTGACCCAAGACTTCGGCGTCTTGGAAGGCGAAGACGTGGCCAAAAGCTGCACAATGTTCTGCCACCAACGAGAGCTGATCCATTCTTCGTACCGCTCTTGCGTGCTCGTCCATGCGGGTCTGCAATCTCTTCCCGCTTTCTCCAACGTAGTTTGCCTCGCAGGAACTACACCGGATCCGATAGACGACGTTGGCAGTTTCGCCTCGTGGCAGAGGCGTTTTTGATCTCACGACCAGACATCTAATTATCGCTTCTGGTTTGTCGGAGATGCCGATACCCAATGGTTGCAAGATATGAGCAACTGCCTCGGAAACGTTCGCAATATATGGCAGCGCTCGCCAGACTTTAGGCTGATTTGCCATTGACTTTATGGTTGGTCTGGACAGTCTGCTGCGTTCTATAAAGCTGCGGGGATAACCGCTGGAGGTGAACATCCGCCGTAGATAGTGGAGTTCGGCTACCTTGTCGGCCGGTTCGCTGCAGTGAGTGTCAACTCTCTTGTAGAGATATCGAACACAGCTTCGTTTGTGACACAGCGGGTGATTGCTGTGGTAGGACACGACTTGGAGAGTGTTAGTGGCCCTCCTGTAGACCGTAGTTTTCAGGCTCCCGTTGACCTTGCGATGGACCAGAACGTCTAGAAACGCGCTCTGATTGTTGTTCTCTGTCTCAATGGTGAATTGAATATCGGGAAGAACAGAGTTCAGTAGCGCGTGGAAATTCGAGACTATTTCCCGTTTGAGAACGACGAAAGTGTCGTCCGCATACAGCGCTCAAAATTTTGGCTTGTACGTTGCGAACACCATCGTCCCCAACTTTTGACGAACAGCTTCGGCGCTGAAACCTGATAGTGGTGAGCCCATTGGCGTACCTTTGATTTTCTCGTACACAGTCCCTTCAAATGTGAAGAACGTTTGGAGGCAGTATTTAAGCAGTTGCACCAGGTGCCCCCGCCTAGGAGTATTGTTTGCCTCCGTGTATTGGCTGTCGAGGAGGTCGCTGACAGTTTCAACTGCCAAATCCTTTGGGATCGAGGTGAAAAAGGAGGTTACATCGAACGACACCATGATCACGTCTGTGTTAATTTGCAATCCATTCATTCTTTCCATGAAATTGATGCATGAGCGGACCGTCGTATAGGAGCCCGAGGTGAGGCAGTTCAGGCGTCGGAACATCCATTTGGCCAGGTTTAATGTGGGTGTCCCGCGCAAAGATACGATGGGACGGAGTGGGGCACCATCTTTGGGTATTTTGGGCAGCCCGTAGAACCTTGCCATGGCAGCATCGGTCGGTTTGGTGGCCAGTCGTTCTGCCCTAGTCATTGCGCCATTATTTTGTAGCATGGTGAGCGTCGTGTTTATTTGCGTCACCAGCTTCTTCATGGGGTCTCCATCACACTTGACGTACGCTTGCCTGTCCTCAAGCAAGGCAGTGGCTTTCTGGAGGTACTCGGCTTTGTCAAGTATAACTGTCGATCGCCCTTTGACTTCCGGTAGGGTCACAATACTCTTGTCCGCCTTCAGCGCCCTGAGGGCATCCTGCTACGCTCGCGGGATGACCAGTCGCGGTTTGTGCGTCATAACCAGAAGGGGTGCCTTGTTGCCGAATGAGGTGCTGTGTCTCGGCTGGCTCTTGGGAGTGTTCTAGAACCGACTCGATCTTGACCACGATGTTCACCAGGTCGGCATCCGAGATGTCGAATCCGGAGCGTGCTTCAGCACCTGAATCTGCTCTGGCTTAAATTTTTTGGAGGATAAATTGTGGCAAATGAATCCGTGGCTCTTGTGATCGCCTTATCTTCTCATATATATAAATATACATGATGGTAGAGGGCGCTCACTGATCGTTCTTACGGAACTCACTCGTTCCGTTGTGCCTTACGGGCTCTCTCTCTCTCTCTCGAGCCCAACCAGCATCCGCACAGCGGCGCATGATATAGGCAGTGTTATTACCGACAAAGTCAAGGGAGACTGGAATGGCCAGTTCTGGCTTATTAGCCGTCGTCAGCGGATGGGACCAAGAACGGAGCCCTGAAGTACGCCGCTCGCAACTGTCACTGCGGATTGCTGGTCACCAAGATGGACAATCTGAGACCGACCGATTAAGAAGTTTTGGATACACTTCAAAAGCTTTCCTTTTACCCCTATGCGGATGAGCTTGTATAGGAAACGGTTGTGCAGCACACAGTAAAAGGCCTTCTTGAAGTCTATGTAGGCCACATGCACCACTTTTCCTCCGTTAGTCGCTAGGCTTCACCGTTTTAGACACTAGAGTAAATTGGTCAAACCTCCATGTGCGCAGGAATGCATGTGTTTTGCCGTAGTTCGTGCATACGTTTCAGTTAAGTAAGAAGCAAGACTGGTTATTGGAACAATCTAATATTACTATCTCGATTATTTCAAGTTAGATTATCGTGCAAAATATCATGTTTTTGAAAAAAAATAGAAAGTTTGGACGTTTCCGTTTACAAGAAGAGAATCACGGGATAGCTCGGCCACTGAAGACTACGACAAAGTGGGGAAGTACGCACGTATTTGTTTACGGCAACTCCTATGCTGCTCACCCCCCCCCCCTACACACTTGCAGTTCCCAAATGGAAGGGAGGGTCAAGAAAATCGCACTCGAGGACGAGCGCAGTGTCTGACAAAACTAAACAGCTCGTTCACGCGTGCCACATTCTACCCGACCCATACGCAACCTGTACCTGCCTTCGTTCAGGGGAATGTATGAGATCTCACACAAGTGAGAGTTCCGTAAAGGTTACAATAAGGAGGAAACATTGCAGCCTGCCCGTCTGTCCTGCGTCGCACT